TCTCTCTCTCTCTCTCTCTCTCTCTCTCTCTCTCTCTCTCTCTTTCTTTCTTTCTTTCTTTGTAATTCTGAATGATTCAGCAACCGCTTCTGGAGGACACTGTAGCAGGCTAGCTTGGCAGCAGTTGGCTAGCCCTGGGCATTTCGTTCCAATCCAGGATGGCGCAGAACCATGTTTTTGGAAAGGCGCCTTGCTCATGTTCTGCGTGGGTCAGGGGCTCTTAGATAGAATTCCAGATGTTTGAATTGCCAGATATTTGAAGTTCATTGCTGCTATCAACTTGGGGTGCTAAATTCTGGGTTCCAGGTTCTAGATTTGGCTTTTTGAAATAAAAATAATGGATTTTCAGACGGGAGTAGCAGCTCCAATGGCTGCTCACACGAGCTTGAGAAAGCTAAAAGGAACCACCTCTCCCTGCCTCAGCTGGGGGTCACAGACCTGTAGGGGGCCCTGGCACCTCCCTTGCCTGACCTTTTGGTTCAGCGAAGAAACATCAGGGGCTGCCATGTGCTGAGTCAGAGTGTGGGCCTCTCTGCCCCAGGATTGCCATTCCCTGCTGCCCTAGCCTTCTGGTTGGGGGTGCTGTACTGTTTCCACGCAGAACAGCTGCTCTAGCCCCTCACTTAGTCTTGTGGAACATTATGTTCCGTGCACCTGAGTATCTCTGGATGGATTTCAGCTTCCCCCTCCCTAGATCCACTGACACGGGCTGCTAGAAAGAAGGCCTGTGATCTTGGCTTGGATAAGCACGGGGACAACATTTTTGGCTGTGATTGGCCTGAGTCTGTAGCACACCCAGACTCAGAATCTCTCATACCTTGCTGTGGACATTCTCCCATGTCATCCCATCCCAAGAACCTGTCACTTTCCCACCTCTGAGCTGGCACACTTTGTAACTCTTGTCCCTCCATCTGTTCATTCTTCCTTCTGGATTTTTTTTTGTGGTGAGAAGGGCAGTTCAGATTACGCTCTGTTGCTAGTTCTCCTCCTTCGACCTACAGCCAGAATGGAAACGGCAGGATGCTCTTTGGAAGATGCAGGATATTCACGGGAAGGGATCAGTAGAAGTTCTGAACTGTGCCCGTGTCTGAAATCGCGCTGCGGGGTTGCTGCAGTGACTTGCTGCCTTGTGCCTGTGCAGGGGAAGCTTTGTCCAGCCAGCCTCTGTTTTTGCAATGGCTGCCATGAAAAGGATGCTAGTAGTCCTCTTAGAGGGGATTCAGGACTCGGATATTGAACTTGGTGAGCACGAGGAAGCGCTGGGATTGTTGAACGCTAGAAACTGTCCTCATCGTGTTGTGATCGCAAAACTGCATTGTCCTGCAGGCTTAGCTCGCAGAAAAAGCCAGATATATTTCTAGGCTCAATATTTGGGGGGTGGGGGGTTACAGGATGGATGAGACACAGAAACGAGCATAATGGTTTAGAGACCATAAATTACTAATTTTTAATACAAATTAACAAAATTCACTACGAAGGTTGCTCATTAGGTGCCTACGAAGAGGCCACCGCCTAATCCCGGAGCGTTTTAAGGGTGGTCTCGCGCTGCGTCTGTCGCGGGCAGACGAACGGGGGGGGG